ATACACTGTCATCTATTGATTATCAGGGGGCCTATGCTTCTGAACTCCAGTACAGGGTGTGTCTGTGACTGTCCTTTGTCACTCAGAAGGGGTGAGGTAAGATATCTCTGGAGACACACTTGTGTCATCTCTGGACAGAAGGTTTGCTACCTTTCTTTACAGGAAGGGTGGGAAAGGATGCTGATGACAGCTGAGTTTGGTGAGAGAAGTGTACTTTCGGACCCTAATTTTTGTCTCATTTGTTTTCCCCCTTTCCATTTCATTGGAAGTCTAGCACTTTTTAAAAGACAGGGTCTCACTGTGTAGTCCTGGTTGACTTAGAACTCTCTATAGAGACCAGGCTGATTCCAAACTCAGATCGGCCTGCCTCTGCCTCCAGAGTGCTGGAATTAAAGGTGTGTGCCACCACTCTATACAACTTATTTTTTTTTAAAAAAATAATGACTCTCAGGACCTCTGATTTCCTATCAGATAATTCTCCAGGTGACTCTGACTGAGCATCATATTCTTTTATGGGGTGTCTTGGCAGTGGGTTTTGATGCCCCCTTGTTGATCTATGAGTTTGAGTTTAGAGTTTAGTGTTCAGAAGTCACTCTGCCTGTTCATGTGGCATCGTCTGGTGAATGTGTTAGTCTTTTAGTTAGTAAATGATACACATAGTTAGTATTGTGGTTAGTGAAAATAGATCATTTTCTACCTAAAAACATTGTCTTCAACATGATGAGTGAGCTGTCCCTGTAGCCTTGTGCAGGTGAGTAGAAGTTTGATACTGGGTTCGATGATGGATACTTTTGTTTAAAAAGCTGTTCCACATCCTCTGTTTATTTAGAAAAACAAATAACAAAACAAAACAAAAACCAAACACAAACACAGAAGTCTAGAAGAATTCATAGACTGGCCCAGTGGCCGAGGACCGTCTCCGGTAGTGATGGAGTGCCAGTGCCACAGCACACTTGTCTGGCTTCTCCTCTCCATCTTCCATCTTGAAGAAGAGACTTCTTTTTGCACAATCTGCAAATATTTTTATTCTTTGGATGCAAGTACAAAAATATGTACTGGGTACCTTGCTTGGTGAGTGATAATTATTTTTGAATTAACAAATGAAAGTAACAGGTTTGTGTTTGGTTGCTGGTGTAGAACTCAGAACTTGGCATGCACCAAGCTTCTGCTCTGAGCAATATGCTCAGCCTAGAGGATGCTCTTAACACAACTTTCCTTTAGTTCCAAAATATACCTGTGATGTTTTCAAACTTTGTATTTTATTTTGATGACTTTGATATTTTACTTTTGATGTTCTTAAAAGCAAAATGAAAAGTTTTTGTTGTTACATTAGAGGCAAACTGTAAACTGCTGTGTTATTCTTTTTATGAATTATAATATCTATCCCATCTAATAAAACTTTGGTTATATGGTACTGAAAACAACAATTCATTGTACTTCCAGTTTCTTTGAAGTTTGTAGTCTGCCCAAGTCTGAACACAATTTTCCTAAATCAAAGATACAGTGGAAGACTAAGAAAACCTAAGTAAGACTTTTTTTCTGAGGGAGCAGAAATGGGAGATTTCCCCCAGGTTTGGAAATATGTTTGCTAGGTTCCTTCTGTACTGTGCACTTCAAGTGCAGACACAAGCACATCAGATAAATTATGTTTAACATTGCCAGATGCACTGTTTGTACACTAGAGGATTAGAAGAGACTGGCTTTAATGTTTTATGTTCAATACAAGTATTGAATATGAAGACAGACTTGGTTAGAAGTAAAGGTAATTACATTTTATGTTTCAAATATGTAAGTGAATGAACAAAAATTTTCAGTTACTTTTAGACAAGTTTGAAGTGTTTTTTCCTTTGAAATTGTTTACATTTACTTATTTTTTCACTTTTGTGTGTGTGAATGTGTGTGCCTATGAGTGTGCATGTGCTATGGTGCATGTGTGGAGGTTAGAGGACAACTTGTGGGAATCTGCCCTCTGAGTACTAGAGATCAAACTCAGGCTATTAGGCTTGGTGACAAGTACCCTTACCAGTTGAGCTATACCATCGAATCCTAAATTTGAGTTAGCTTTTTATTTATTTATCTATCTACCTATTTATCTATTCATTCATTCATTCATTCATTTGTCTGTCCACCATTTATTTATTTATTTATTTGTTTGTTTATTTATTTATTTATTTGAGATAGGGTCTAACTATGTTGCTCTGCTTAGCCCAGAATTCACTATGTAGGCCAGGCTAGCCTTGAACTTACAGTGATGTACCTGCCTCTGCCTCCTGAGGGTGATGATTAAAGGTGTGCACCAACATGCCTCTCCTGAGTTTGAGTTAAGTTTGAGTATTAATGAAATGGCCAAATCGCCCCATTTTATAAGTATCTAGTAAACCTGTTTTAATGATGTAATAATGATTTAAATTAGTTTAGGAATCAAAAAGGAAGCAAAAATTAAATCTATACTTTTTCCCCCTCAAAACTTGTCCTTTTCTGTTTAAATATTTTAAGCCATTTTAGAGAAGATGCAGCTCTAGTGACCTGTGTGGTGTTGGGGAAGCAGCTCTGTTTCCGGCCCTGGACGCACCTCAGAGCTGCAATTCACTTTTGCTCCTGTAATTGTATAACTAGTCAGGCCCTTTCCACTCTTGTGTGTGTCTTCTAATTTCTAAGCCAAATATACTGTTTTGCTAGTATATTAAAAAAATTACTTTTATTTTATGTGTGTGGATGTTTTGCCTGCCTGCATGTCTATTCCTTACATTCATGCAGTGCCTGTGGAAGGCCGAAGAGGGTATGAGATCCCTTGGGACTGGAGTTGTGAGCTGCTATGTAGGTGGTGAGAATGGATCCTGGGTCCTTGTGAGGAGTAACTGGTGCCCTTAATTGCTGAGCAGTCTGTATCTCCAACATTGCTAGTGTGTTTAATGGTTGGTGAAACAAGAATCATAGTCTTGTTTCCATGGAAAATTAGTGATGATTAGAACCTTAAATAAGGAGCCCAAGGTCACAGAGCTGTAAGTAGAAGTTGCTGCTCAGGTTAGTTTAGATTTCTGTATGTCCACTGAGTCTGTTCCAAGTTTGTTCTGAATTAAGATGAAGCAAATACTGTTTTCTATGGGGAAGTCTATCTTTTATTTGCTAGTCTAATTGTCCTTTTTGTTCCACAGGGATGGTTTTAGATTTTCATCCCAGGAAGCTGCTTCTAGTTTTGGTGATGATAGACTACTGGTAGAAAAATTTATTGATAACCCTCGTCATATAGAAATCCAGGTTAGTACTGTTCAAGATACCTTCTAGTGGTTGAGACTGAGACTATGCTAGGATGCTAGAATGGTTGTGGTCTGGATTGAAATGATAGAGAAACCCACCCCCAAAACACAGCAGTCTAAAGTGAGTGAACAGGCTAAATACATTCTACTATGGAATCATCCAGTCTCTTCCAGGACTGGATCATTGGAGGCAATTTTTAAAAGGAATAATAATATATGCTATTACTGCATTGTCTTAGGGTTTCTATTGCTGTGAAGAGAAACCATGATCATGATAACTCTTATAAGGAAAGCATTTTATTAGGGTGGCTTGCTGGCGGATGTCTTTCTGTATGCTGTGAATATATGTTGTTCCCATTGGTTAATAAATAATCTGCTTTGGCCTATGGCAAGGCATTATCATCATGGCAGGTGGCATGCAGGCAGACATGGTCCTTGAGAAATAGTTGAGAGTCTTACATCTTGCAGGCAACAGGAAGTGGTCTGAGACACTGGGTGGTATCTTGACCATGTATGAGACCTCAAAGACTGCTTCCACAGTGACATACTTCCTCCAACAAGACCGCACCTACTCCACAAAGCCACACCTCTTAATAGTGCCACCTCCTTTGGGAGCCATTTTCTTTCAAACCACCACATACATATAGTAATATATTTGTACATATAAGCTACAGTAATATATATATATATATAATAAAAGGAATCTTCCTTTTCATCTCATTCCTTCTCTACAATTTTCCTGTTCATATTATTCTCTTTAAGCAGCAGAGTTCTCAACTTTCCTGAAGTCCTGCTTACACATACAGGACTTTTCTGTGTAGCCCAGGGTAATCTTAAGTATGCAATCCTCTTGCCAGACCGTCAGAGCACTGGGACTTGTTGTTTTAGAAATGGTGCTTTGGTCTGTGACTGTGCTTAAATGAATATTGTTTGGTGTGAGTGTGAGAGTAGATGCTTTCCCATTTGGCTGTCTGGTTTTTTCTAGTAAATGATACTATATATTGTGACAGCCATTTGTTGTAAATTAGTGAGATGGGTTCATTGTCTTAATTATTTTTGTTTTATAAGATAACTGGAGAGATGGCTTAGTTGGTTGAGCTCAGTTTCCCGACTCCATATAAAAGACCAGGCATGGTGGTGCATGTCTGTAATCCCAGTGCTGAGGAAGCAGAAACAAGAGGCTCCCTAGGGTCCAGTGGCCAGTCACCTGAGTTGTTGAGCTGTGGGCTCAGTTACAGACCCTGTCTCAAAATGAGATGGAAAGTGGTAAGAGGGAAACAATTAATTTCAGCCTCTGTCCTTCACATGTTTGTGTGCTTGTACCTGCAAACATATGTGCACATACACATGTAAGCATATAACACAGAGAGGGAGGAGGAGGGGGAGGGAGGGGGAGGGGGGAGGAGGAGAGAGGGGAGGGGTAGGGGGTAGGGGTAGAGGGAGGGGGAAGGGGAGGAAGAGGGGGAGGGGGAGGGGGAGGGTGGAAGGGAGGGGGAGGGGGGAAGGGGAGGGGGGGGAGGGGGAGGGGGAGGGGGAGGGTGGAAGAGAGGGGGAGGGGAGGGAGGGGGAGGGGGGAGGGAGGGGGAGGGAGGGGGAGGGTGGAAGGGAGGGGGAGGGTGGAAGGGAGGGGGAGAGGGAGAGGGAGAGACAGAGAGAAAGAGAGAGAAGGAGAGGGAGAAAGAGAGAGAAGGAGAGGGAGAAAGAGAGAGAGAAGGAGAGGGAGAAAGAAAGAGAGGGAGAAAGAGAGAGAGAGTATGTAGTATGGAATATGATACTGTTAATGCTCTAAATTAGTTTTTTTCCTCCCAAACTAAAAGCTTAGTGTAACTTGAAAGTTTCTCTCTGGGTTCTGCCAAGCCCCCATAGTCCCACAGCCCACTTATAAAATAATCACTCAGAAGCTTATATTACTTATAAACTGTATGGCTGTGGCAGGCTTTTTGCTATGTAGTTCTTATATCTTAAATTAACCTATTTCTATTAATTTATAAGTTGCCACGTGGCTCATGGCTTACCGCTACTTTACATCTCGCTTCTCATGGTGGTGGCTGGCAGCGTCTCCTGACTCAGCCTTCTACCTCCCAGAATTCTCCTCTCTCCTTATCCTGCCTACACTATATTTCCTGCCTGGCTACTGATCAACCAGCATCTTATTTATCAATTAATCAGAGCAACACATTCACAGCATCCCCAGCACTTCCCCTTTTCTTTTTTTCAAAAGCGAAGATTTTAACTTTAACATTGTAAAATTACATATAACAGAACAATTATCAAGCAAAAATTACAGTTACAATATCTAGTCTATGTATAATATCTAGTCTATTTGTATTTGGCAAAAATTAAAGAAGATATTCTATCTATCCTATATTTGTAAGTCTAAGATTTCATATCTAACTTATCTTTTATTATGACTAAGGAAATTACAACTATGTAATCTTCAACTACATCAAAGACCTCAGAAGGATATAATATTACCTGAGAAATGGGAGAAGGATGCAAGAAACTTTTGGGAGTCTTGAGAGAGTAGACAGAGACAGCTGGCAGCCTCGACAGTTATTCAAAGTTCCTCTGTAAAGTTGGGGCATCTGTCTTCAGCCCACAGGCCTAGAGTCTCTCAGTCACTTCTCTTTGTGTCCTGTAGACTGTCTGGCATTTTCCTCTGTGAAGCAGGAACCTGAAGGACCATTTTGCCAAGCAAAGTTCAGTGGTCACCTTCCTATGGGTCCTGCATGTCCAGTTGATCAAGCAGTCCAGGCAAGAACAGTTTCTTGCCCAAATGGCTATTTTTGCCAAGAAGAAGATAAACTCCACATAGAGTGTCTCTGATGCCAATCCTCCTCTCTGAAGTAAATCAGTGCTGCCAGGAGCAGACATGTCTCATTGTCTAGAAAGTCTAAATTTTTAAAACATTTTAAATGCCATATTCTGTAGTGTTTGGAGTGTTTGGAGACTATCTACCTACTTGAATTATATCTATGTGTACCTAGAAAACTTAACATGACTGTAGTGTGACTTTCATAGAAGCCTAATTATTAATCTGTATTTCTTAATTATCCATTACAATCTAAATGAGTTACATAAACATAATACCTTAATCAAGAGTAGAAATATATATATATAGTAGAATAAAATCAACTCTAAATTTGTATCAATAAACTAAAATCCACAGCAATGTAAAACATTTTAAACAAGTTGCTCTTTAAAAGTAGGTTCAATAATCCACCCTTTTATCCTATCATATCTATATCCTATATTTCCATATGAGTTAGGCTTTTTAAGTTTCTTAAGTCTCCTTGTAAATTTTAGACTTTACCCATTATCCTGATTCCTCCCTAACACACAACTGTGGAGATTTGGATTTGGGTTGTATTGATTCTAGATTGACTTTTCTAGTTAGTCCACAAACCTAGAATAGCTCACAGTTTACATACGTGTCTTTGGTAGTCCTCTCCAGCAGTGTTTTGTAGTTCTAAGCCTGAAGGTTTTATGTGTCGTTCATTAATCTTTTCCCCTAGACATTTGTTCATTCCATGCTTTGCTGTGTTAGCCACTTTATAAGTTTGATTTGCCATTTATTTGTTGCTCATGTAATAGAAACAGGTTATTTGTGTGCATTGGTCTTAAACCAGGTATCTTTTCGAAATCTTTTTAAAAATTTATATCTTTAGTAGATCTTATGCTGAGTGAGAAACCATCTCAGATGCAGAGGTGGAAAACACTGTTCAGCTGCTAGGAACCCACTTATACCAGTTGATCTTGAGATGCCCCTGTTTCCTGAGAGACCATGGCTCCTTGAGGGTGGAGATGAGGTCTCAGCCTTTTGCTGTTCAAACAGCTAGGCCTTTGTCTTTCATTAATATTTCATCAATATCCAACAAATTTTGTTAGTTAAGTTGTTATACTTCTACATTAGTCTTTTAGTTTAATTACTTTTGACCTACCCATCTAGGTTATGTTCTTAAACATAAGTAAGTCTATCCCCTCTTAACTTAAATGGGTAACCCAGATGTTTCCCCCATCTGATATGCTTTAGGTTTTTAAAAACTATTCACTTTCCAATTTTCATGAGCTTATTTGTATTAGATAGTTTATGTATATAGGGTTGTTTTAACAATTCTATCTCCAGTGGGGACCAAGCAGTATCTGTTCACCCTGCCTCATAAAGACCCAGTGACAAACCAGAGATTCTCCTGGGAAACAAGTGAATTTATTAGGTTTACTTATAGAGCTTGAGTGAGGGGTTATGGGCAGAAGTGTGGGTGACCCTAAAGTGGCCACATTGCAAGGTCTGTATCTAGCGTGAATGATGGCTTTCCCATGACGGTGCAGATGAGGCCCCCTTCTTTTTTATCTTTTCCAGCCTGTACACTCTAGACCCTCCCAAGACCCAAAGCCACAGGTAATTAGGGCAGAATTATATACAAGTGGCTGGGAAGGATGGCTGGAATGTCAGGTGAGGGTTCAGTGACCCTCTCTAGCCCCTCGTTCTATGAGGGAACGTCAGCAGTGAACAAGCACAGCTGTAGTGACAGTTTCCTGCAGACATACAGCAGTTTGACTCACAGGACAGTGTCGTGTAATAAGCGTAGTTCACAGAAATGAAGTCCATTTTTACCCTGTCTCCTGGAACTCTGTGTTCTGCCCTTAGATGATGTTATCCATTTCTTGAATGTCTCTCCACAGTCTGGGAAGTATATCTGTGCATGTCAATCACCTGTTAATTTTCATATCATATCAGCTGTTCTATCCTGTGTCCTTTCTCAGGTGTACACTGGCAATGTAAATAACTCTGCTCTGTTTTATGTCCTCATGGCCATGATTCTTAACTAGAGAACCACTATCATTCCCCAGGCTGGGTTCAGGGATCCTCAAGGGCATGCATTATCATGAAGCCTCTTGAGGAACTAGTAGTGTGGCTCTATCCCATTCAGCACATGTATCTATAAAGGGTTATAGTCAAAATAAAATAGCTCTCAAGGATAAGAATCATCTTTTCCTCATAAGTGTGTTTTATTCATGTTTCCCAGTGTATATCATTACGTGTTTTTTAAAAATGCTTGATAAATTCCCTGAGCTTTTAATTTTGACTTTGCATGTATGGATATTTTGCCAGCATATATGTATGTGTGCACCACTTGTGTGCCAAATTCCTTACACTTTTTAGAGCAATCAAGGAGACTATATAGAATTAGAGAAAACAAACACTTGATTCTGTATTTGAGTCTTTTTTTTTTTTTTAACAGTTTCAAGTGCTTTTTCTGATTCTTAGTTATTTTGACTTTATTTCTTGGAGACTAAATGTACTTTTACTTCCTTGCCAACTAGAGTTTAAATAAAGAGGTTGAGAGTTATTTTGAGGGATTAAAATATTTTTAGATGTACCTCATGCAGCTACCTTGGAGTCTTAGAAGTAAAATGCCAGTCTCCTGGCATCTGATAACTATAAAATTTTCCTTTATTACTTGAAATGATTTTTGAGTTTAGAAAGGCTTTATTCCCAGAAAATGTTTCAGCCATATATTTGCTACTTTTTTTATAGCTAACTATGCCTGTTGTAAGTATGATTTTTTTCACCAGCCATATAAAACATTAAGATGCTACTTCTATTGGCTCTCTGGAATGCATGGAGAAACAGAATAACAGAATGCCTTTCAGTGAGGCTGGATAGATAGCTGCTTGGTGCTAAAACTAGTGACTCAGAGCTCTTAAAACAAGTCTGTGAACCTAAAACATGTGTTCAGAAATATTTGAACAACTCTGAATGATTCATCTCCAGCTGAGTGTCGTGTTTTCTCCAGTAGCCCCAGTTCATTTCTTCTTATCACAAATGGAGAGCATCATGGTGTATTGTGGACTAGCTCCCAGCCATTTTTTCTAGTTTTCTCTAACAAAATAAGCCAGGGTAAAGTTATCCACATACAAACAACAATGTATTGGTGATAGATTCATAAACTACCACTCCCTGACTAACAGACATTTGATAAGAACAGCAGACTGGCTTGGGTAGTGATGGTGTCACCGCTCCATTGGTGACCAGAAGGCATGGCTCTGGCAGCACTGATATTTCCTTGCTTTCACAGTGGCTTCTGACCTTTTAGCCATTATTAAATGATACTCATATGCCGTCTGTGTGCTTGAAATGCAACATGAGAATCTTTTTCCTCAGATATTTTTGCTTGTAATATTTTATTGTATTCTAAAATTGTAAATATACTTTTCTTCTGTTAATATCAACGTAATGTGTGTTTTGAGAGCTATGTGTATTCTCTGAGGTCTTGATATTAAAAATCAAGAGAAGTTATATGGGGAAGCATTAACAGGTACACCCTCACTGGGGATTTCTCAAGTGTTACCACTCTCAGGTTTTAGGTGATAAACACGGCAATGCTCTGTGGCTCAATGAGAGGGAATGCTCGATCCAGAGAAGAAACCAGAAGGTGGTAGAGGAAGCACCAAGGTAAGAGTCACCTCCTAAGAGCACCCATAATGCTTTTAAAGATTTTCTGGATTATATTTTTTTTATTTGCTAAAATTACCTTAATATAAACTTTAATGGCTATTTCTATATTAATGATTTGTAATCTGTTACCTAATTTCCCTCAGTACTTCAGTCCATAAGAATGAGAAAACACTTGAAAAAGAAGTAGGTTTTTGTTAGAAGAGAGAGTTGGATAGATAGCAACTGTGGCTTGTTTAGGCTTTGGGGTTGTGCAGAACCTGCCAGTGTCCCTGGGATGCCTGGAATAGATGTGTTTCTCATGTGAAAGACACATTAATAAGGTTGGTCCTGTCTCCCTGCTGCAGAAGTACTTCTAGACACAGTTCTTGAAAATCCCTTGACTCTCCAGAGCTCCTCTGGTGGCTCCCGGCAGCTGCAGTAGGTTTTGTGAGGCTGTTTCACTGACCTTCATTTTTCAGTTAGTACTAGGTTGGTATTTGTGTATATCCTGGTATTCTCCTTTTTCTTAAAATCCCCAGTTAACATTGAATATGGTGGCAGTACCTGGGAGGCAGAGGCAGGTGGATCTCTGAATTTGAGGTCAGCCTGGTCTACATAGAGAGTTGTAGGCCACCTAGAGCTACATAGTGAGACCTTTGTCTAAATAAAACCAAAAAGAAAAATGAAAAATATTCCCAATTGAAGCTGAGCATGGTGAAGCATGCTTATAACCTTAGCATCTCAGAGGCGGAAGCAGGAAGTTCACCGTGAATTCAAGGCAGCCTGTGCTACGTAGTGAGTACCAGGACTACCAAAGGGTACATTGCAAGACCTTGTCCTACAAATCAAAATTAGGCAACCCCTCCAAAACTAAAATACAATACCCAGTTGAATGTATGTAGTTGTTTTGAATTGCCAAGCACTAAAATATGTATCTAATTGTAACTTTAATGTGCAAAGCCAACATGCCTTGATAGAGTGTGTATAGTATCTCAAAAGAGTATATATGACTATGGGTCAATTTTAAATCACAATGTAAAATTAATAGCTATTTTAGATACATTAGTTAAAAATACGGGGGTAGTATGGTGGTCTAAAAATATGGTATGTTAGCTGGGCGATGGTGATACACGCCTTTAATCCCAGCACTTGGGAGGCAGAGGCAGGTGGATATCTGTGAGTTCGAGGCTACCCTGGTCTACAGAGAGAGATCCAGGACAGGCACCAAAACTACACAGAGAAACCCTGTTTCGAGACATCAAAAAAACAAAAAACAAAACAAAACATGGTATGTTAATTCTTTGACATTACTGTCATTTAGTGTTGGGGGGTGTCTACATCACCTCCCTTGATTCTCTGTCCTGTGACTGCATTGCCAATTGAGTACATAGAAACTGTGCTGCTACTAGGAAAGGTTTATGGTATAGGAAAGGATAAGACCAGAAAGGCAAAATTGAGTAGCGTTATTGGTGGTTGTTTTCCAGATTTCTCTATGCCTTTATTTATTAGGGCACTGCAGAACTATATTTATAATAAGAAAGACCTTAATACCTGAAGCTACCAAGTAATCCCAATATCACCCTCAGGGGAGGATAGAGTACACTTTCCATTTACTAATCAGGTAGGCTCTGTCCCTATGGCAATCCATATGACTATTGAAGGCTTTACTCTGTCAGTTTATATGGAATTGAAATATAATACTAGTGTTAAAAGACACCACAGGGTTGCATGCAGCTCAGCCTTCAACTTAAGGAATGAGACAGGAAAGTGCCCAAGTCTTTGGCCGAAAAACAAGGGATGGGATGACAGATTAAAAGCATCTTAAAATGTTAAAAAAAAAATCAGCCAAATGCACTCTAGACCTTATTTGTATCTTGATTCAAAGGAAACTAGTCTTTATAATGATATTTATGAGGTAGTCGGAAATTTTGAATACTGACTGAATACTAATTAAACACTGACAGGCTATAAGGAGTTCTTGTGTTACAAAAAATTAGTTGCAAGCATAAAGAGATGGGAGTTTCTTCTGATGAAGCAGTCCCTAGCTTCAACTTTACTTAAACAAACAACCCCAAATTCCCCAGACAAACAAAAACGAGTGAGTTGGGTAGGAAAGTGGGTGTGTAACATAGGTAAGCCAAGTGTGGCTCTTTATAAATGATTATGTACCAAAGAAAGGCGCATACAAGTTCAGCATCCCATCCCATCATGAATATTATACAGCATGTCTGACAGATATTATCGAGGGATTGCATCAACCTGCAAATAGAAATGTAGTTAATGTTGATCTCTTGTGTAGAACCAGAATCTAAAATACTAGTTATTTGACATTCTCTCTCTCTATCAAACACACACACACACACACACACACACACACACACACACACACACACACACATATATGTATATCTATATCTTCATTTAAACAATTTTTAAACAAGCATTTACAATGTTGGTTGAAAACATTTTAGCTTGAACTGCCTGTGGAGAATGACAGGTATGAGAGGTTTATTCGATGCAGAAAGGTACTGTTGACACTGAATTAGCAAATACCAAGCTGTTTTTCCTAGGGAAAATACATGTTTGGGCTCCTTGAGCCTCAGGCCTTAGCATTTTCACATAACATGCAAATATGACTTACATACTTGGTCAGTGTAGAACCTTGCTTTCTGTATGTTCAGGTTGAAGAGCACCTTAATTAACAGTAGTGCAAGACTGTAATGTATTTCTTTCTAGGCTTACCTCACATGTAGGCTTCCTCCATGAGACATTTCATGGCCATCATGCTCCTAGGAGCCCAATAGCACTTAAGCATGAAAGTCAAAGATCTCTCAAGCAGTGAATCGCCCCCTTTCTCTTTGTCTCTCTCCTTGGGGATGACAGTGGTTAAATATAAGTCCTAGAATAGGAAGGCAGAGCAATTTGTTCATCCTCAGCTTTTGACAGTTTTCTTCTCTCTGCTTGTTCATGTGTGCATAAAGGTGCTACACATATGTATTTTTAAGGGTACATAAGTTATCGTAAGTAGGCAAGTTTGCACATACAGAATCTATGAAGAATGAAGATAGTATATGTCCATTTCCAAAGTTATTTCCATCTACTTTTAGCTTGAGGCAACTCCTAGTATATATGTTCAGTTTTACTAGGTAAAGGTTAGTTAGTTCATTTTAGAAATGAAGTTGTAGGGAAATGTGAAAGGATGAAATGTTCCATAAAATTTTGATGTTGGATTGGTGAAGCATGACACAGTGTGTGCTATGAAGCGTGATCAGCTCCTAAACTGGTACAAAAGGATCTATGTAGCAGTTTTATGTAAGCCCATAAAAGATTACTGGAGGCTTTGCTCCGAGTGCTTCGTCTCTTTGTAGCATTTTTCTGGATCATGAGACTCGCCGAGCAATGGGAGAACAGGCTGTGGCTTTGGCTAAAGCTGTGCAGTATTCCTCTGCTGGAACTGTGGAATTTCTCGTGGACTCCCAGAAGAATTTTTACTTCTTGGAAATGAACACAAGACTCCAGGTAACAATACCTCTTTTTCTTTCTCTCCATGCTCTGTGCCCCTCCTCATTCTTTTTCTTGTTTCGTTTTGTAATAAAATTTAAAAATCAGTGCCATAAACTTAAATATTTTCTTTCTGTACTTGTGCTGAGACACCTGCTAAGGAGATTAAGCAGCCCACTGACTTAATTGAAAAAATTTTATGTGTGTGGGTGTTTGCCTGTATGTGTGTATGTGCACCACATGCATGCAGTGCCCTGAGAGGCCAGAAGAGGGAGTCAGATTCCCTGGAACTGGAGTTACAGACGGTTGTGAGCTGCCATGTGGGTGCTGAAAAATCAAATCTGAGTCCTCCAGCCCCTCACTCTGTAAACTTAAAGGCTCATGTTTAGACTCCTACTCAGTTATTATTATTCCCGATACTTGATACTTCATGTGTATATATCATGTGTGTGTGTGTGAGAGAGAGATAGATACATAAGTATGCCACAAGCAAGTCTTTGAAAGAAATTTTCAGATACAAAGTAAGGAAAAAAAGATCTCTATGGATGATGGATCTTTTCTTACAGAGATTTGTCATTGTTTTGTTTTTGCTGCAGGCTCATGTGTAATAGTATTTTGTGGCACTAAGGGTAACCAGTTGAAAGTGAAGCTTCTTGGGCTTCTGAGGGGTACTGAACCCATCTGCAGTCCAGCCAGGGGCTGATTCTCTTGTATATCACTCTGACCTTGAGGGTGTGCTCCTTGGTGGCCTCCCCTCCCCATGGAGGAGTGTAACTAGAGTTTTCCTGCCTGGCCCAGGGTCAGGGCAAATCTCTCTCACCTGCCAGTCCCACAGCCACTCAGACCCAACCAAACAAACACAGAGACTTATATTGCTTACAAACTGTATGGCCGTGGCAGGCTTCTTGCTAACTGTTCTTACAGCTTAAATTAATCCATTTCTGAAAATCTATACCTTGCCATGTGGCTTGTGGCTTACTGGCATCTTCACATGCTGTTTGTCATCTTGGCGGCTGGCAGTGTCTGTCTGACTCAGCCTTCCACTTCCCAGCTTTATTCTCCTCCTTGTCCCTCCTATACTTCCTGCCTAGCCAGTGGCCAATCAGTGTTTTATTTATTGACCAATCAGAGCAACACATTTGCCATACAGAACATCCCACAGCACTTCCCCCCGCCTTTTTTTTTTTTCAAAAAGGAAGGTTTTAACCTTAACAAAGTAAAATTACATATAATTTGGGAATTTGGGCGTAGCTTCTCTTACTACTTCCTGCTGGAGGGGGGCGCTGTATCTTATGGGGACACAAAGAAAATTTTAGGATCATGGAGTAGTCCGTGAGGGTGTATCGTCTGAGCCAGTCATCTTGAAACGGTTCTGGATGTTGAATCATCTGGGCCATGGTGTCATCGGAGACCTTTCAGGGGGTCTTGGCTGGTCAAACCTGATGTATCTTAATCTTGAACAAATCCATAGCCTCTGACTTTCTGTGGGAACAAAAGCAGAGACTCTTTTCCAAAGCAACATATCCTTATATCCAAATTTTGAAGTCAAGGTACCTTTAAAATATACATATTGACATAACTCAACAGCTTTTACAATCAAATGTTTTTCTGCAGTTAAAAATCCCAAAGACAACACAATCCAGATTCTCTGTGTAATATTCATCTTTATGTGACTTATTTTTTTTTATTAATTTTACTCTCTTTAAAGATTTTATTTTTAAAAACTATGTATTTCTTTATATAACTGTATATATTCCTTTTTCTCTCTCTTCCAAGTCTACGTATATTTTACACACATTTTAAACTATTACATCTGAATCTGTCTTATTGTGAATCTATTGCTTTAAACTGCAGCAACTGTGGCTGCTGGCTCCGCCCACCTCAGCTTCCCAACATGGCTACATTTATCACCAGCTCTGGGAGCTATCGTGGGTCTATGATTTTATCCAAGCAGCGTATAGTCCAGAAACCTCTTTTTTTGTTTTGTACCTGCAAAGTCTAAATCCACCGTGCAGCTTAATGTGCCACTTGCAGAGGCCTCATTCCTGCCATACTGCAGGTCGAACGCACACTCCAGGAAACCACAAGTAGCTCAAACCAGCAGCTGCCACTCATTTGAGAGAGACAATTAGGAACTGTTTTTAGCAACGTTTTAGAATCTTTTTCTCAGTTTTTAGGTGGAAACTCTTGCCATCACGTTGGATGCCATTTGTAGCTAGAGTTTTCCTGCCTGGCCCAGGGTCAGGGCAAATCTCTCTCACCTGCCAGTCCCACAGCCGCTCAGACTTGACCAAGTAAACACAGAGACTTATATTGCTTACAAACTGTATGGCCGTGGCAGGCTTCTTGCTAACTGTTCTTACGGCTTAAATTAATCCATTTCCATTAATCTATACCTTGCCACATGGCTCGTGGCTTACTGGCATCTTCACATGCTGTTTCTTATCATGGCAGCTGGCAGTGTCTCTCTGACTCAGCCTTCCACTTCCCAGCTTTATTCTCCTCCTTGTCCTGCCTATACTTCCTGCCTAGCCAGTGGCCAATCAGTGTTTTATTTATTGACCAATCAAAACAAAACATTTGCCACACAGAACATCCCACAGCAGAGGAGGTTTCTCTATGTCCTCTCTTGTGATGATCTTTCACCTTTATGGCTGTATTTTTCAATTGCTCAGTACGACTAAAGGAGGAAACTACATCCCTGGTGTTACTGTGCACCTGGAGTGCACATGCCTGTACAACAAACATGGCACCAATGCTGTGCCTGTATCCCTGCATGCTCGTCTGTTGGGTTTTGGCTGATACTTCTTTCCTGTAGTCTTACTCTTTGATGTTTTTTTGTTCTGTTTTTGAGACAGGGTTTCTGTGTAAAGGCATTGGCTGTCCTGGAACTTGCTTTGTAGACCAGGCTGTCCTGGAACTCACAGAGATCCTACTGCCTCTGCCTCCCCAGTGCTGGGATTAAAGGCGTACACTGCTTCTTCCTGGCCTCTTAAGAACATCCTCTCCTGTTACCTAATCCCAAGTAACTATAAGTACAGGTTCCAAGCTGATGGCTTTAAGAAGTACATTATATACATGTGAGTGTGTGCCCTGACTCACCCCTGCCTGTCTTGTCCCCTAAGTGTGGCCTGTGCCTTGCCACTGTCTTATCTTTTCCTTTCTAAATGACACATGGCAGTGCCTCCCTGACCTCAAGAACATCAGCAGTCACAGGATGAGCCTCAGCTGCAAGGGACTTGGCAGATGAGCATGCACATCAAATACTAACTAGTCCCATGAGTGTTATCACCAAAGTCTTAATCTTTGAGAGTAATATGAAAAAATTGCTGGTAGAGTAAAAATCTACCTGTCAAATAACAGATTGATTTTCAGCAGAAGTGATGTTTTTAGCTGTATTTTGAGGCCAGTATCCTAAACATCTGTAGCATTTATTACTGACAGTAGTTGGATACTCCTTTTGAAATTGTATTTCTTAGCTCATATTCTCTTTGTGTGAATATCCTTACAATTTTGCCTTTTGGATATGAATTTGATTTTTTTATTACAGTAATAGTTTTCTAATAAAGTGAATCTAATTAGATAATGAGCTAGGAAATCATGTTTTTTATTAAGATGGGGACTTCATTATGCCATGGTGAGAATAGTTGCTTGCTAAGGAATCTAGAAAGAAATTTGTGGTGAGAGAACATTTGTGTTTTGTTCTACAAAGACAAGATTGTTGGGTTAAGTACATGTTATCATCTATGAAATTAACAGCCAGTGTCTTTTATAGGGCAATTTGTAACTGTGTCCCCTACTCCCTGAGACAAGGTCTTGCTATGTTTTCTGGACTGGCCTTGAACTCCAGGTCTCTAATGATACTCTTGCCTTAGCCTCCCTAGTAGCCAGCTACGTGTATTACCACACCTGGCTCTTGTGGTTTTCTTTGTTACCTCATCTGTTTCTGGCTCACTTGTTTTAGCCCATTGTTTTTTAAAACTTGCCTCACAGTCTTCTACATCAGGCACCTCTCTGTAGTTGGTTGAAATCGTTGCAATACCTCAGTGCCTGTCTGCTTTTATCATGGATAGCTTGCCAGGAAATTCTATCACCTCAAACATTACAGAATTTCTTTGGGGGTTGGGGGAGCTGGAGGTGGGGAGTCAAATTGGTAGAAAATTTCATTGTGTTAGTTCTGACAGTACTGAATCCTGTGCTATTTAACGTCACCCTTTGATACAGTTCACTCCCAGTTAATATTTATTCACATTTCTTTTTTTGGATTTATTTGCTATGACTGTGACCCTGCCAGTTAGCAAGAATAAATGAGTTTTGCCTTCTTAGCATGTGTTTGTGTGTAGGGGGTGCTTGATAGTAAATAGGACAGAGTCATGAAGAACAAATCTTGGACTTCTCACAATATTGAGGAGGCCTTTCTTGCATGTTCTCTTTATGCTTATGTAATCTTGGCAGGTCTGGAACTTGTTGCAGGTCAAGATGCCTTCACACTTGCTGTGATCCTCCTGTCCCTGCCTCCTGAATGCTGGGAGATTATATGTATGTGCCACCATGTCTGCTTTAAAATATTCTTTTTTTTGATAGAAACTTTTCTTCTCTTTTTAATAAATTTACTTTCATTATTTTAAAGTGTGTGTGTGTGTGTGTGTGTGTGTGTGTGTGTGTGTGTGTGTACACGCATGTGCCTGTAGAGGACAAAGGCATGAAATCCCTTGGAGCTGAAGTTACAGGTGGTTGTGAGCCACTTGATGTGCTGGGAATTGAACTCCAAGAGCAGGAAATGTTCTTAACCCCTTACATTTTTTTTTAAACAGTGTATTTTCTCTTTCTGATTTCTTTTTTTTTTTCTTTTTTTTTTTTTGGTTTTTCGAGACAGGGTTTCTCTGTGTAGCTTTGCGCCTTTCCTGGAACTCGCTTTGGAGACCAGGCTGGCCTTGAACTCACAGAGATCCGCCTGGCTCTGCCTCCCGAGTGCTGGGATTAAAGGCGTGCGCCACCACCGCCCGGCCTCTTTCTGA